CATATCATGATTATGAGATATGATAGATGGATGTAAAAACTAATTTCCTTAATTGAAAATTAAATAAGGATGTATACATAACACGACTCTAATGGTTTTGTCACCATAAGACATGCAAATAAGATTTGTAAATTATAAAGGTCCATTTATGAACTTAAGCAATCATCTAGTAGCTGAAATTAACATTTTGATAAAACGATTAAAGAGTTTGATATTTCATAAAACAAAGACAAACTTGTGTATAAAAGAAGGTTAATGAAAGCTGAAAGCTCAATTGTTTTTGTTATACTACATGTAGATAATATTCTACTTATTAATAACAACACCACTATGTTGCCATCCGTAAAAGATTGACTATTTAAGAATTTCTCCGTGAAAGACATGGGAGAGGTAGTATACATTCTAGGAATCAAGATCTATAGAGATAGTCATGAACAATGTTAGGTCTATTCCAAAGCACGTATATTGATAAAATACTAAAGAGGTTTAGTATGAAAGAATCCAAACGAGGTCTTATTCCAAGGTCATATGGCATAAAACTTTCCAAGGTTGAGTGTCCCAACACACAAAACAAAAAGAAAATGATGAGTCGCATTCCCTACGCATCGACCACATGATCTATCATATATGTCAAGTTTTGTATACGAGTTTATGTCTCATATTCTTTGAGTATATGTAATAGATATCAAGCTAATTTGGATTTAAAAAAACACTAGATTATCATGAAAATCATTTTAAAGTACTTACGAGGAACTAAGAATGCCTTTCTAGTCTATGGAGGACATAAACTAGCGGTGAAAGGGTTCACGAGATGCTAGTTTTCAATTTGACCATGATAACTTTAAGTCACGATCGGGATTTATTTTCCAATTGAACGAGTGGAGCCGTTAGTTGGAAATTTTCCAAGTAAGAAATAATGACCGACTCAATAACCGAGGCTAAATTTATTATAACCGTAGAAACAACTAAGAAGGTTGTTTGGATTCGTAAATTTTTATCTAGACTACAAGTGGTTCCTAGCATTGTTGATCCAATAGGATTTTACCGTAACAACAATTGAGCTATAGCACAAGCTAAGGAACCGAGGTCTCATCAAAGATCCGAACATGTATTACGATGTTATCATCTTATTAGAGAGATTATCGATTATGGTGACATAAGGATAGAAAAAGATCCACATTGATGATAACATAATTGACTCCTTGACTAAGCTTTTATCATAATAGAAACATGAGACCTTTACTTGATCGTCGGGATTAAGAGATGTGGTTGGTTGGCTCTAGTGCAAGTGAGAGATTGTTAGTGTAGGTGTTCAAGATCCAACCACGTTTGGATTGGCTTAGGTTAATGTATTATTACATTATTTATTTTAATAATAACAAAGAATTCATTTTATTAATTCTTGTGTTTTATGTTTGTACATTCGAGTAGAATTAGATAGAAGTCCTTATGATATACATTTGCAATAGTGATTGATTGAAATATGTGAGATAAACACTAATGAATATAAATGATATCATTAAACATCTCAAGTTGTAGCATTATCAAGAATGGATACTAACTACATGCTATATGATAGCAATAAGAGATCTCACACCTATTGGCATGGTGTGCTAAAGCAAACACTTAGATGATTTATGTTAGAGAACATATCACTTGGACTTGACTAGCTATAAGAACCCATTTAGTTTTTGTCTATGAGAATCTCATACAAGATGGATATATATGATCCTTAGACTTGAGGTCATCACGGTTGTCTCATTAGAGGACTTATGCACTTTGACGAGTATTACGATGGACCCATTAAGGGGTTGCACGTGAAAAATTAATTGGGTGCACTAGGAATCTAATGGAGGTAGGTGTATGACTAAGATACAACATGTCATTCCTTGTATGTTAAAGGAGTTATCACATTACACTTTGATAAATGTCTACTCAAAAAATTTATGACTATAGTAGGAGTACATTAATAGAGTATAATTGATTTACTTGTAAAAGCTAAGACATTTAGGAATCAAAGAAAACTTATGTGATTATAATCAAACAAGACTTATAACTAAGTTCGAGATCACACTATGATAAGTTGACATGAGAACTGAATTGTATGGTAACTATCCTAGTGAAAGGTAATAATAGATTAATTAATCCTCCTAAAAAATTAGATAGTCATGATGCCTTACTAGAAGGCGAGTCTTAATTTATGTATCGGGAGATAAAATAAGAGTCTTTTTTCTTGATATATTGCCAATATATCTAAGAAACTATTGAGTCACACGTATAAGTTTTAGTATTCACATTATAAATGAGAAGTAAAATATTTTTAAAAAAATCCAATTATGAAATTTTTCTTTTTGGAAAAGGTTTCCAAAATGAAAAGTTTCTTAAAATAGAAAGTTTCCTTAATTAGAAAGTTTCCTAAAATGAAAAGTTTTCTATTTTAGAATTTAGATTTATAATTTAAAATTTAGTTCCAAATTTGGAAGTAAATAACCTAAAACGGAAATGAGTTTCCTAATTTAGGTTAAAGGGTATTTTGAAAAATTATTTCTCAATGTGAACCCACCTAAAATAATCTAAGATTATTTATTTGGATAGTCAAAATAAATTAATTGGGTTAAAATGGTTTTGGCCCATTAGGTTTAATTAAAATCCTTAAGATATTTTGGTGGGAGGATAAACATCAACCTTATTGGATAAGGATGAATGTTTTGAAGATAATGATCAAAAGTCCACATGTAGAAATAACTCCTCATCCTTGGAGGATAAGGAAGCAACAACCTAGAGTCCTAAAGGAGACTTAATGTCGCCCTTCTCCTTGTCCTTGGAGGACAAGGAAACTCTCTTATAAATATAAGAGAGAGATAGAGGTGCAAGCAACTATGTAAAAAGAAAGAGAAAAAGGAAAAATTCAACCAACTTTAAAAATAACTAGGGCATATGACAAAGTGAAGAAAAAAAAAGTTTTCTCCAAAAACCCTAGCACAATATAATCTTTCATTTCTCTTTTAAGTTTGTGAAAAAATTATCCGATATTGATTTTTGTAGGAAACATTATACAAATAAAAAATAAAAATGATAGAGCTAGCACCCTACTTATTTTGAGTGCTTCTTTGTGGGTACTTGGACTGCATGGATCATCAATAGAGACCGAGATACTTGGACGACTTTTTTGCTAAAAGAATTTACATCCGTGCTATAAGTGGTAATTCTTTGTTCATTACTTTAATTCATGCATGTATGGTTAGTAGATTTAACGACTGATCTTGGGCCCTTAGATGGAGAAATTTTTTTTTATTTACTCTACACCTCCATAGGATGCATGATCCTTCGGGGATAACATACATGTTATTATCCTATGGTGACTATTCATGCTTAGGATAAGTTAATAATTTAATCGATGATCGGCGACCAAATCAAAAGTGGATACTGAAATTCAACCAAGGTTCTCTTAAAATTGTTATTTCTCATTACTTTAATTGCTCATAAATACTTCAAACACAAAACCCCCTTTTTACAATTTTTACACTACAAGAACAATCAACCAAGAGAAACCGTTAATTAAACCTTCTTTTTATGGATTCAACTCTAACTTGTCCTATCCACATTATAATGGTTAGGTTCGTGAGGAAAAAATAATAATAATAATAACTAATTTATTGGTGTCACATCATCAAAAGATAACATGATCATTTTAGAAAAAAAACTTGTAGTGCGGATAACATATTTGGGAATGCCAATGGCATCTATCTTGATCTTGTGCTCTAGATGTTTTGTTTTCTTACAAATGTTTTCCCTTTTCTTGGTTTACCACCTAAAGACTATGAACCAATCAAATGTGAAATAACATATCATCTTATTTATCCATATTTAAAAGTAAAATTATTTTCTCTCTCCTTTGTCATGATAATAATAAAAACCTTTATTTTCTTATAACCATGGTTATTTTTGGTATATTTTAAATTCATGATGTGTCCTTTTATTATTAGTTGGTGCATAATCTGAAGTTATAAAAACAATTCAACTAATAATTTCTCCGTTTTTGGTATTCATGGATTGGAATCTTCTTATCTTTTCAAAAACATGGTGGATGATATTTGTAAAACTTCACCATATATATATATATATATATTGAAATTAATGGTTAAATATTATTCATACAAGCATAATGAATAGTTATTCAAATATATGATAGGTTATTTATTTAATTATGATATAAAATCTAACCATTGATTTGAATTCAATGTTTAAAATTTACAAAAATAAGCAACTGCTTTAATTACTTTTAATCCAAAAAAGTTTGGTTAACTCATGTTTAATTTGCTTCGAAAGCAAAACAATTGTTATTTTAAAAGAATTTTTTTAAAACAAAACAGGATGCCCATTGTTTTTAACAAAAAGTACATCGGCTTATTATGAGGTTAATTTTTTTATTTTTCTAATTAAAATGTTAACTTTTTTCCTTTAGTTATTTTAACAATTTATATAAATACCAGCATACTAGTGTTTTATCTAACTCAATAAACTTTTTTTTCTATATTATTGGTTATATTGATTTTGTTTTATTAAAATGATTTGTATACATATATTATTACACTATTTGTTATTATTATTATTTTTTAATTTTGTAGTTTCTTGAACTCAAGAATTACTCTAATAATAAATATGCATACATGAACACACGTATATTATAAATTATTTAATATAAATGGAAAATATTTGTTACAATATTTTTAATATATTGTAATTCTTATGGATAATTATATATTTCAAAATAAAAAAAGTAATAATAAAATTAATCATACACTATTTAGATATTTTAAACATTTATAATTATCGTAATCAATTACCAAACTATTTTGATCTCACAATGCAGCAGCCAAAACACAACACAACAATGCGGAATGCTGAAACCTAAGATGCAAAAAAAGTAAGGTTCCCAAAATATGGGTAGAAAAGTAAAACTTAAAACCATATCAAATAATCCTGTGGATAATCAAAAGCTACCCTTTGGTGCAATCCTCTTGCTTGAAGGATACAATTTGTCTTTCCAGGTCAAAGCTAATCCTAAAATTGCTTTGAGCAAAGTTACCAAATATGCCAACAGCAACATCTGTTGTAGACATTGCAAAACAAAAAACATCTTGCTTTGGTGAAATGAAGGTGCTAGTTGGTCCTAGAGGGACTTGAGCACCACCATCAAAATGGACTGTCAATATGGGGGCATCAATGGTAGAATTGCTTCTATAACAAAGTTGTGTCCCTAGTTGCGGGTCTTGATATGGTGTCATTGGAATTGAGCTCCTCACTTCTTGTTCCAATCGCTTGTAGAAATCTTGAGGTAAGATTGTTGGCGGTACTCCAGTGTCAATGAATACATTACCTTTAGAAATTGTGCCCGTTGAGTTATAAGGCAAGAACTTGCCTCTAATGCTTATTCCTTCCATCGTGACAAAATAATAGGTCTTGTCTTCTTTTGGAACTATAGGAGTTGACACCACACCCTTACCAGTAATTTCACTTCCACCACCAAAATACATCTTGCTTGAAATATTAGGATTGGTATGAAACGGCACCAAGCAGTATGAGAATTTTTTATTCCCTAAAAAGGAACCAATTTGAGAGGCAAGTGATAAAGACCTACCTCCTAGTCCAACTAAGCCCATTTCTTGTTCATTAAATCCCCCAGTATTGTTGTGTCCACACCCAAAAACAATGTTTGGGATCGAAATAGGTTGTCCTCCTGAGCTAGAACTAAAAGTGATCGTTTCCTTGGAAAGGACACCCTTAGTCATGGAATTAGATGCATAGCCATAAGTATAGTTGCATAGAGACTGGACAGAGCAAGAAACTGTATCTAGTAGATGGCATTCATCTGATTGACAATCAATTTCACTATATGTAGAGGAGGATTTAGGATTATAGACAGGGTTAATTTGCTTATAGCATTGTTCACAAGGCTGGCACTGTGTCCACATAAGGTCACTCCCCGTGTCAACAATGCCATAAATGTCCATTGGAGGCGTGCCCATAGAGAACTTCAAGAGATAATGACCATTGTCAGATGACACTCCTAAATGAGGACCATTAGATTGTTTCATGTAAAATTGATTTAAACGAGAAACGCCACGATCAAAAGCATTTTTTAAGCGCTTTGTAGGAGTTTCATCGGCATTGTATAATGGAGAATTAGGGGAGTCTCGATGGATTAGATCAACACTAAACCCATCTTTTTTAGCCAACGGTAAGGCTGAAAGGTTTGACAGAAAAGTGAATAACAATATTATAACCACAAGGATTGGCGAATGTAAATAGACAATGCTCGTCATGAGAAATTATAACGAATTCGTGCTCTAAAAAAAAAGGTACTACTGAAGGGAAGAGAAGAATTAGTCAGCGTTTGTGCGCGCGCGCACACAGTTATATATGGCCACTCAATTGATGATACTCTTATGATTTTATATCGTATTTGGACACATATTGTAAAATTCTATATATAGCTTGATTCGCATATCTGTACGTTTGATTGAATTAAGTAGATTACCATAATCTTTTTCTTATTGTTGGTTAGATGGCGATTCTTTTCCTAATCATGGTATTTTTAAAACTTATTTCCTTAAACAATATTATCTTTAGATTTAATTACTGAAATAGGATATTTTTAAACACATAAGCACTAAGCTAAAAAAAAAAAAAAAAAAAAAAAAAAAAAAGACACTAATATGACATGGGAATTTTAAATATTGAAAACTTTTTTTAAAAAATAAAAATAATTAAAAAACCAATTTATTATTAAAAATTAATCTAAAACCCTACAAGTTTTAGGTTCTTCCCTCTAACCCTTAATGCCCTTCAAAATATTATATTCAACGTATACACAAAATTGAAGCGTTAATACGTTGTTATTAACCAAATAATAATTACTCTACTTTGATTATATATATATCCAACAAATTTCAACTATAGATTATTGTGATAAATTATTCGAATACTAATAAAATGTGTTTTTATTTGATCTGGAATTGTTAATCTCTTTAGAGCATAGTTAGTGATAGTTTAAAATATCAATTGAAAATGTTTAATTTGATCTTCAATAGTGAGTGCCATTTAAGCATAATGAATGCTATTTTCATTCTTGATTGTTAGTTGATCTTTAAATATAGAGATTTTTTTTTAAATAAAGCATTTCTAATTTTTCTTTTTTCTCAAATCAAAGTAGTTTTAAAATTATTTCCCAATATGGGTACTTAATGCCATATAAATGTACACATGGAGTTTTTTTTCTCACCAATTTAGGATATTTTTAAATCTTTATTCTTTAAATTGGGTAGCTTTAAAGTTTGCATCCACATCACTTTGTTCTTACCGCAATTAATTTGTCTTCTTCTCCAATGTTAAGCATGATTTGCCCCTCCTCCTTGATAGGGACAACTTTAATGAGAGCAACGGTTGATCAAATAAAACTTTTTTATTTGAGTTCAATGAAGACATTATGGTTACTAATCATGAGTTCAATGGAGACTTGATAAAGATTAGTGGGTTTTTATCACCGATCAAAGAGGGTGGATAGTTAAACGAGTTATAATCTTACAGATCATTCTTGAAAGAGAAAATATATTTATAGTCAATTGATCTATAACTCATTACCAATTTCAATTGATTTTACCTCCATATTTGAACCTAGAAATCAAAAGAAATTAACCAAGTTTCTAAGGAAAGAGCCTCCCGAATACATCAAGCACACATTCTCTATACTAAGTGTTTGGATCAAAGCATCTCCCGTCCACTATCTTTTTAGAGATAACTCTTGATGGCCGATCTACTCCATTAGTGTTTGGATCTTGTTTCAAGACAAAAACAAACAAAATAGCTTTGAAAACTTATTTGATAGTGGAGACGAAGATAAAAATTTATGTTTAGTCAAATTAAAGTTCAGTATCATATTTTTAAATTGCAATAAAAGATTTAATTGGTATTGATACTTATTAATCAAATAAAACAACCTCTCTTTTTAAACATTGTATGTCGATGCAATGGAAAATCCGTATCCATAGATTTAATTGGTTTTGTTGGCCATGTAGCCTTGGTTGACACATTGGTTGCCAAAAGACAAGTCTTGAGAAGAAGATCATGGCATATAGTTTTCATATGATGGTGTGGCTCTCCTTGACATGCTAAATTAATATGCCATGCTCGAGCAAGAAAGAGAAGAAGAGAAGTAGAGGATGAGGTGAGTTTCAGCTTTACTCGAAAAGCTTGAGGCGAGATGTGAAAAAACAAAGTCATACCATTTGATGACATATATGTCTACGTATCAATAAATACCCATTTTGATAAATAAGTTTAAAAGTATCCTCTTTTAGAAATAAAGATTTAAAAGTAACCTATTTGGACAAAAAGCTTTATACATGTGAGCATTATTTTAATTTTTTTATCGGATATTTGTTTTACCTCATACCTTTATTTAGAGAATGGAAAAATATGAATAATTTATTTTCTTATTTTTTTCACTATTGACTCAAACTGTCTTTAATTGTGCTCTAATACATCATATTGACTCAAACTGTCTTTAATTGTGCTCTAATGCATCATATCTTTTGCTTGGTATGAGTTTTTCTATTAACTATATTCTGAAATTTGAGAGAAAAATAATGACTAAAAGAATAAAAAAGAAGCGAAAGAATAAAAATAAACAAAACAATGGAAAAAGGACTTTAGAAAAAAGAATATTTTGTCCTTAAATTTGATTGTGCTGGACAAACTCAACAAATTAGAAAGGAAAATGATCAAGTTGTTAGGCTCATAATACTACCCAAGCCCAAGAAACATTCAAATGGTACTTGACATGGGAGTGTTGCAAATTCTTCTTCCTTTTTTTATTGATTTTTGTATTTGTTATTTTAAGTTTGATTTTTGAATTCTTTTTCTATTTTGGTTGTTTATTTGTAGTCTCTATTTGTTGCGGATTGATTCTTTTTCTATTTTGGATTGGTAATTACATCCTATTTATATCCTTTTCAGCCTAGATTGTTGGGCTAAATTATCGCCCTTTTATGCCTTTATTTATGCCGACTTTATGATCTAAGTATTTAAGCTATCCTTATATGTTTGGGATATCTTGATATTATTATTATTATTGAATTGAATTTCTTCATAATTTTCTCTCAACTTGTATTAAAACTTTGATTGTATTATAATTTTGCATTTCTATATTCTTGGATTGACATGTCAATGTGGTGATTTTGATCTTCATCGGTTAAAGTTGTAATAAAATTTTAAATCTTGTCAAGATCAACTAAAGTTAGGTTTATTTTTATTAAAGAAAGTTTTGGCTACTAGGTTCGAAGGTTGCAAATTGATTCTTGTCTTCACAAATCCAATGTCTTCTTAGTATCAAAACTTTGATTTGCTTTTCTAGAATGTTTTGAATAATGTTTGTGAAGATGTCTTTAATAAAACAACCAAATCGCAATCAGCATCAACAAGCAAACCAAAGCTCGATATCGCTCCAAGATTGACTAAGGGCAAGTTACAAAGGGAATTAGTACTTATGCAATAGAGATTTGATGAGTATTAAAGGAGAGAGAATATGGCTAAAACATAAAAATCCAAAGGTGAAACTACCAAAAAACAAAGAATTAGTGATGGTTTTATGACGATATTAAACTATTTGTAAAAAGTTTGTTGCTGATTATTTATCGATGATTTTTTTAGTCCATTGCTAATTAAGCAATGAAAAAAATTGTTTCTAATCTTATTAAAAATCGTTGCTAAAAGTTTGATAAATTTGTGACTATTTTGGTAAATGATCGCCAAAAACCGTTGCTAAATTTGGACAAATTTGCGACGATTTTTACAAAACTGTCATTAAAATCGTCACAAAATCTATCGAATTTAGCGACGATTTTAGCAACTATTTGTCAAAATGGTCACTAAAATTATGATTTAGTTACGAGTTAAAATTATCGCTAAATCCGTTGGCAAAATGTTTTTTAATTTTTTTAATGTTTATTCAAATTTTAATTGTTTTAAATTATTCCAATTTAAAAACTTTAAAAAAAACATACATAAGATTTTTAAATATTACAAAATATAAAATCTAAGAAAATGAAATATATATTAAAATATTAAATTATGAAAAAGTATAAAGTTTGTTAATATTACAATAAAACAAAAACATAAAAGCTAAGAGCAATCGGTAGGGTTGTTAGTCGAAAGTTAGGTGGAATTGTCAATCGAAGGCTCGGTGGATGAACCGCCTCACTCGTATATTCAGCAAGGGCAAGAATTGCTGAACAAAAATCAACTAAGCATGCCGAGAATTTCGAACAAAAGCCGAAAAGGTCCAAACCTACTTCCATACCGATGGTTCAAAAAGGCGAGGGTAAGAACAAAGGTAAGGATAAGAATGTTAGTGTAGGTGCCCTAGATCTAACCTTATTTGGATAATTTGATTTATTGTAACGTTATATTTTTATATATTAATAAAAAAAATTTCTATTAATTCTTATTATTTATAATTTGATAGAATTAGATAAAAGTCCATATGATATGCATTACATTAATAATTGATCCATTGATTTGAGACAAACATGGATGTATTTAAATGATATCATTAAATGTCACAAGTCATAACATTATCAAGAATGGACATTACTATATGCGATAGGACATATGAGTATTATGCTCATACTATAAGATAAGCAGTAGGAGATTTCACACTTATTAGCATGATGATGGCAAAGCAAGCACTTAAGTGATGAATGTTAGAGAGTATATCACTTGGATGTGACTCACTATTAGAACCCATTTCATTTAGTCTATAAGAATCTCATACGAGATAGTTACAAATAGTCCTTTGACTTGAAGTCATCATAGTTATCTCGTTAAAGGATTTATATACTTTAACAATCGTTTCGATGAGCTCGGTTAAGTGCTATATGTGAGCGATTCGTTGGGTGCACTAGAAATATAATGGAGATAGGTCGATGATTGAGATAAAACATGTCATTCCTTATACACTAAAGAAGTTATCACATTGAACTTTGATAAATGTCCGCTTAAAAAATTTATGACCATAGTGGGAGTATACCAATAGAGCATAGTTGATTTACTTTAGAGCTATGGCATTTGAGGGTTAAAGAAAACTTGTGTGATCATAATCGAATAGACTTTAAACCAAGTTCAAAATCACACTATGATAAATTGACATGAGAACTGAATTGTATGGTAACTATACTCATGAAAGGTAACTACAAATTAATTAATCATTCTAGAGAATTAGGTAGTCATGATATCTTGCGAGAAGCCAATCTTGATTTATATATCA